CCTTTCACCTACGAGGCTCTGCCTCCCAAGGACATCAAGTTCACCCCCTTGAACCAGACTAAGGAGATGGATTCTGCTGAACTGATGAACTTCTATGAGAACGACAAGCACCTGGGTCGTTTCCTCCACATCATCCGCGACTCTCCAGTTTATCCTGTCATCTACGACTCAAACCGTGTCGTCTGCTCTCTTCCCCCTATCATCAACGGCGACCATAGCAAAATCACACTGGACACTACAAATGTGTTCATTGAGATCACCGCCACTGACCTTACCAAGCTCGATATCGTCACCGACATCATGGTTACTATGTTCTCCATGTATTGCTCCGAGCCTTTCACTATTGAGCCTGTCCAGATCAACTCTGACCACAACAACCAAACCCGTGTCACTCCTAACCTGAAGCCGAGAGTCGCTGAGGTTGAGATTGATTACCTCAACAGCTGTACCGGCCTCAAGGAGTCCCCTGAGAGCCTCTGCAAGCTCCTCTCCAAGATGTCCTACACTTCTACCCCTTCATCAAAAGACTCCAACATTCTCGAGGTTGCTATCCCCCCAACCCGAGCTGATGTTCTCCACCAATGTGACGTGATGGAGGACCTCGCCGTGTGCTACGGTTACAACAACTTGCCTCGTACTGCGCCTTCACGAAGTGCTACCGTCGGTGCGCCTCTACCTGTCAACAAGCTCAGCGATATCATTCGTATCGAGACTGCTGTTGCTGGCTGGAGTGAGGTCATGCCCTTGATTCTCTGCAGCCATGATGAGAACTTTGCTTGGCTCAACCGCAAAGACGATGGAAACACCGTCGTGCGCCTGGCCAACCCCAAGACTGCCGAGTATCAAGTCGTGCGATCGAGTCTTCTCCCTGGCCTTCTCAAGACCATTCGCGAGAACAAGGGCCACAGTGTCCCTATGAAGATCTTTGAGGTCTCTGACGTTGTTTTCAAGGATGAGACCCAAGAGCGCAAGGCTCGCAACGAGCGACACTTTGCTGCCGCCTGGTACGGCCGAACCAGTGGGTTTGAGGTAGTCCATGGCCTTCTTGACCGTATTCTGCTCATGCTCCGCACATCTTTCCTTACTCACGAGGAAGGCCTGTCTGGCAAGAGTATCGACTTTGAGGTTAAGGAGAACCCTAGCAAGTCCGATGGCTACTGGATTGAGGAGCTCGATGACGCTACATTCTTCGCTGGTCACGCTGCCTCAGTGTACCTCCGTCTCGGTGGAAAGGAGAGACGTGTTGGCGAGTTTGGTATTCTGCACCCTAGCGTGTTGGAGAAGTTTGATTTGAAGTGAGTAATTGCGGCGTTGATATGCTATCTGGGCAAGGTTGACTGACATTTATACAGATACCCTGTTAGCACTCTCGAGATCAACCTTGAGGTTTTCCTGTAACATGGTAAAACGAAAACTAAAAAAGGCAGAACGTGAGGGCAAGAGACGAAGCAAAGAAGGCGCAGCACATATGTGATAGAGATCATGTGGATATGATTCAAGGTCAAGCAAGATAGAGACGTTTCAATCGCCGGAATGACGCTACGAGATAGATAAGAACAAAAACGGTGAACATACAAAGTCAGTTTTTGGACTTTTGTTTAATCTAACAGACAACTTTGGTGTGCCATGCTATATAAGGTGTCATAAGAAAAATCTATTGTCGTCTAAGCCCGCTGCGCATGCACATACGTGGATCGCGCAAATTCAGAATGCATTCGCCACCCGAGTTCAGCGCCAAAACCCAGCTCAAGATGCTTCTGATGATAATCCGTCCGTGTAAACCAGCGGTAATCTCTCCTTAGACAATCAAATTCCAGCTTCCAGATAACTTGATTAAAGCTCAGACACCGCTTTCCTGCGCTTCATTTCCAGTCTTGCAAGCAATGTCTCCAGACCCATTAAAGGGCCTGGGCGGCTCACGTTTAGAGAATGACGAGGCGTCCCAGGCTTTTCTTTTGGTTGCAAGGAAGCGTTGGGGGTGACATGAAGGCAAGGCTCTAGAAGTTCACAGTCGCACCGTCTGATGTACTCCCATTCTTCACTCAAGTTGCCGGGTACACTGCGAATACTACCCCAACTTGAAGACATAGCGAAGTCTGTATTCAAAAGCGGCGGGGCTGCCAGTGTGTGTGACCAGGAACAGCAATACCTGACAGAATCATGTGTTTCGACGATCAAGTATGGGCCAGGATCTGACTCCGGAAACATGACCTTCTATGTCATCTCACTTAGCTCCTGATCGTTACGAGTGGGTGCGGGAGCTGGATTTGAAGACGAGGCAGTCTCGCCGGTGCTAGTAAGTTGCCCGAGCATCCCTTTGCCTAGATTAAGACCTACGATGCCATCCCGAATAGCGGCAAAGGCGTTACCATTGGGCTCAGCAGATGCGCTTCGTTCGATCGGTACATGTCGTGCTTCTGGTGTCAGTGTCTCGTGCGCTGTTTCGACTCCAGAAAGAACCGATGGAGGTCCTGATTTGGAACTCGAAGTCGATGATCTGGGATCAGCATCGGATTGAATGACACTAGGGTACTGAAGATTCGATATGGCGGTTTGACGATCTGTCTCGGCTGCCGCTGCAGCATTCAGACCACCATTCATTTCATCCTCAGTCCTTCCAAATACTTGATGCCACCATCTAATATCCTTAAGCCGCGGTAGAAGGATTCGCTCCTGCCCCTTTACATGGTCGTCAATACTGGCATCATAATCCGGGTTTGTGAATTCAGCTCGTCGACAGAGGAAGTAGTCCCAAACTGAGGACGTGCGCTCCGTAGCTCGGGCGTCTTTTCTTTGCTTCTCGGAGTTGAAAAGGAAAGTACCGTATTGGCACGAGTACAGGTGATACAGAAGACGGCGTAAAAAGCGTTCGTTAAATTGGAACCGAGAGTTGTTTTGGCGCAGAAGCTGATAAGTGCAGTCGAGGAACTGGTGGAACACAGGGCTGACCATCTTTGGAGATGTTGCCTCGTCGTCAACAACCTTTCCGGGTGCTGTTTCGACAACTGCAGCTAAGTCTGGGTCGTCTTTATTTGGATTGAAGAAGCGCTTTGCACCACTCAGAACATTTTGGAAAGCATCGTTTCGGCCGTCGTTCTCTCCAGGCTGCACCTTTGAACCTGCAAAAGCATCTTTTTGCACATTGAACCAGTCTTCGTGGTTCAAATGACCAGATCGTAGTCTGAACATGTGCCCAAAAGAGAGCCAGTCCTTCTCAACGAGGACGATGAATCCCTCAATAGTGCGGTAGTAGGGGTCTAGCATGATTTGAGCCAACGCACTGAGCTGACTTGTGCGATCCCAACCATCAGAACAGTGTATGAGAACATGGGAGTGGTTGATACCAATCTGCCTAGCAATGATAGCTGACCCGTCCAGAACATTGTGAATGTGTCGCAGCCAATTACTTTGATGGAGAAGCTCTCTGTTTGGTGGCAGAGGCGAAATATCGGCGTCTTTAAGGGCGTCGACGACCTTGTTGAGAGAGCTTCGCATAACGTGAATATTCTCAATACTAAGGAATATTTTTCGTGCAAACTTGTACTTGTCCATATTTTCTGAGCCCATTCCCTGAACTTGATTCACCATGGCGTTTATAGTTGGACGAGCGTCCACAATCAAATTAGTCTGCTGGGCACCGTATACCTGACGCTTACCTGAAGCATCATACACTGCAGCTGATTTTGAAATAAGCTCGTCTTCATAACGTTCTGTCTCGGAGAGTTCTGGCTCTGTCGTTGAGCTCACAAAAGATACATCGGCTTGGCTCGACAAGGGAGTGGTGTCTTCGGACCCGGGCGGCAAGAGAGCGTTGAAAGATGCCGCTACTAGTTTCTCGTCTTGTACATTCGTCTTTCTTGTTATTCCAGAAAGGGGTTGAGAGCTTCGAGTAATGGTGCAGTTGTTGATAGGATGAATGTACGACAGTGCCGGGACACGATTTCTCGAGCGAAACTCCTTTGCATATTTAAGAACGTTGTCGGAAATTTGGGTCGGAACGACCAAGAATGCAGGATATGTGTCGCAAAAGGTGTAATCCTTATTAATGTGCGTGATCCTCCAGCCTCTGTCAGGCAGCTTCTCACTAATTCCCTGTCGTCTAAACTCGGCTTTTGGATCGTAGAATGACCAGCCTCCGACTTCCCGCTCGTACTTCAGGGGCTTGTGATTAAACGCGTATAGCTTTTCGACTGTTCCAAGCTTGCAGGTTCGAGATTTGATGAAATCGAATGCATCGCGGGCGATCTCACTGTCAGTGAAGTTGAATGTCACAAACGTAAAGTCGCGGCATCGTAATCGAATCGATGGAGCTTGGCGTGATCCAGGTGGGACTGGCCGGAATACGCAGTGGCACAGCATTGGGAAGGGAATCCATCTTTCTCGAACCTTTGGTTTCTGTGAAGGGTCTGGAGGATTTCCAGATTGATCAATGGGGGCGCAGAACACCAAATGGAAGTCAGTCAGTCGCAAAGTGCCATGTGTAGTCTGGCCGCCGTAGATACCCTGAACACTTTCGACAATCTAAGCTAAGTTAGAAACTTGGGGCAACAGTGCTGAGCGATGAACAAGCGGTCGAGCGTTATAGAAGAGGTGACTTTGACTGCATGATTTCACATACCTTGCGGGCCTCCATTTTGGCAAACCGTGGGGTGGTATGCACCACAGTTTCGCCAGCTCCTCGTCTCTTGGATGGGAGTTGTTACAAGATCAAGATGATCTATTAGGTGTAAGGTTGAATTCTGTTCGTAGTCGCTTAAGTGTCGATGCGGAAGTGATTCGTCAGGGGCTCGTGAGGCGGTGATGCGGAGGTAGATGGATATCGCGGGGCCGCCGGAAGATGAAGAAGTTAATATTTGTAACGAGTGAGGCGACCAGAAATTAGAATATTATAGGATGACCTCTGACATTTCTATAGACAGCGCCGAATCTCAAACAACGACATGAGCCAAATCGCCCGACCTTGAGTGAAGGTTTAAGTTTATTTTAAGAGCCTTAGACGACTACAGCTCGTTCAACATCACGAGCCACAGACGCAGATGCCCACCCACCTCCACGAAAGGTAAGGCAACGTAAATGGCACCTAGAGACCCGACGTCAGAGACATGGCCCAAGCGCTTTCCCCATTCTGGGACATCTTTCTCCAAGTTCGGCAGCACAGTTTCTCCGGCAGCCGGGTCATCATGCAGTATACGTACCTTGTGGAGCGACCTGAGTGCGGAAAGCAGCCCCGCAATTGGGAAAGAGCCAGTGTGCACCCGCTTGCCAGATTTAGGGCTCAACCACACACCAAAAAATTGAACGGGCATTTGTGAGTGTCAGTGAGGCTCGAAATCCACCCAGGATCGCGAATCTTTCTCTTCAGCCCGTTAACCCTCAGCTCGCCAACAGACTCAAGACAAGACACCTGTAGTCACGTCCAGTCCCGACAACACAAGTCAATTTTTTCAAGATGGCTCACCCCGGATCTCAGATGTGAGTTACTGTCTGCGCCCGTCCATCCTCTCGTTCGAAGAAGCGAAGCCATTATTGCATTATCGTCGCCACCCCGCCAAAGAAGAAATCACTACGGAAATCAAGAACGAATACAGAATTACAGAGCATTCACTAACAATTCTTCTTTCACAGCTCCAAGAGGAGAAAGTTCGTCGCTGACGGTGTCTTCTACGCCGAGCTCAACGAGTTCTTCCAGCGCGAGCTCGCTGAGGAGGGTTACTCCGGCGTCGAGGTCCGCGTCACCCCCACCGTTACCGACATCATCATCCGAGCCACCCACACCCAGGAGGTTCTCGGCGAGCAGGGCCGCCGCATTCGTGAGCTCACCTCGCTCATCCAGAAGCGATTCAAGTTCCCCGAGAACTCCGTCTCCCTCTACGCCGCCAAGGTCCAGAACCGTGGTCTCTCCGCTGTCGCTCAGTGCGAGTCCCTCCGATACAAGCTTCTTAACGGTCTTGCCGTTCGACGTGCCTGCTATGGTGTCCTCCGTTTCATCATGGAGTCTGGTGCCAAGGGTTGTGAGGTTGTTGTCTCCGGTAAGCTCCGTGCTGCCCGTGCCAAGTCCATGAAGTTCACCGACGGCTTCATGATTCACTCTGGTCAGCCTGCCAAGGACTTCATTGACCACGCCACCCGTCACGTCCTTCTCCGACAGGGTGTCTTGGGTATCAAGGTCAAGATCATGCGCGGCTCCGATCCCGAGGGCAAGGCTGGTCCCCAGAAGACCCTCCCTGACGCTGTTACCATCATCGAGCCCAAGGAGGAGCAGGCTGTTCTCCAGCCCGTCAGCCAAGACTACGGTGCTAAGGCCGCCCAGGCTGCTCAGGCTGCTCAGGACGCCCGAGTTGCTGAGGAGGAGGGTGGTGAGGAGGTCCAGGCTGTTGAGCAATAGGATGCTTAAATCACCAGGCTGGGAAAAGCCACCAAAACCTTACGAAGGAAGATGGGAGACCCGTGGGATGAGGGACGGAGGTCTACTCAGGCGTCAATTGTTCATTTGCATCTGCTAAGGGCACGGAAGGTTTCATTCTTGCTTGTAATGGTAGGCAAAGCATAAAAGAGAAAAATGAGACCCAAAGATTACGACGACACGTCATATGGCCGTGTCTTCTGTCTACCAATCCCTTCACTCCCGTATCTTGCGGGTCTATCTTTTCTTCATAACTATGTGTCTGTGACTGTCGAATTGCACAAATCGCCACAAACAAATGGTCTTAACCCTACTATGTGACTGAGGTACTAAAGTTAACCCCTTCTGACGATATGATACGAGCATGAAAGGCAGAAGACACAAGGAATTGATTATTGCTTAACACTAGACGATATTAGAATTGCAGCCGATACCCTCATCTTCCACTGTCACGACTGTAACTCAATTCTGCTATGTGTTATGTATCATGTCGTGATAAGTTTTGTCTATGCAAATAGGTAGCTTCTGGCCTTTTCCCATCTCTTGTTATAAATTCAAACTTGGGCATTTTCAACCCTAGAAAAAAGCCCTGCGACTTGGACAACAGATCTACAACATTCCGAACCGTTCATGACCCTCGAAACTTCGGCGGCAACGCCCGCGTTAGTCACCCTTTTCATCGCTGTCCAGTATAAAAAGTCTTCTTTGATCCGAAACCCCATGTGTGTGATCATTGTCTCCCGTCGCTTACGCCCTCCAGTTATCGTACAACGAGAATTTGCCTGTCGGCCCCAATACAAAATCCGCCAACGCCGTCCAAGACCATGTGCCCATAGTACTCCAGTAATAGCAAACAATACACCTCGTTTGGTTCCGAGTCCCGACCCCGTTGTGCATTGGAAAACCACAGTTGACACCCAACATTAAAGCATGTCGTTGCGTAATGTACCATCCATGAATGCTGCCCATACTCCGAGGAGAAATGCCCGGTCAAATGGCTTGAAAATATACAATGCTTGTTTAAGATGCTGAAACATGCAGAATATTGTTGCGAAGCTCTCTCTCGACAAACTGCCCAGAAGTTCATTGCTCCGCCATTGTGTTACGCAATGTGTTGCATTACATTATCATCGGTCGCCTGATTTGTGGCGATTGTCGAGTTCGATGCTGTTGTCGTAAGTTGCCTTGCCGTTGCCATTGCCATTGGTACGTCGCAGGTCGTCATTGCTATCATCGCTGTCGTCAGCTAGGTCGGTTAGAGCGAAGCCAGCAGCCTCCTCCTCATCATATGCCCGGATCAGGCCCTCGCGATCTCCTCGCTGGCTGCTGATGCTGTGTCGGGAAGGGTCGCCGCTTCTCCGAGCTTGCATGCTTAGGCGAGTTTGTAAACCAGACACCATATCAGTGCCGGTAGCGTCGCTTCCTCCTCGACCTGCGCTCAATCTTTGACCATGGGGATCGCCTCTCGACAGGTTTAGTAGATAGACACCAGTAAAGGTGACCAAGAACCCGCAGAGCAAAGAGAGAGTGTTGACAGGATCGTTTGTGTTGAATCCGGTAAAAAGAATGAAAGAAGCGCAGAGGGTCGCTGTCGTAAAGGTGACGTAGTATAGGGGGTTGACGCTGGCAGATATATTAGTAGAGCTCTTCACATACCCTTTTGTCGATTACTTACATATTGGTAGGGAAGTTAGCCAGAGCTTTATTGAAGTAATTCATTTGGGTCAGAATGCAGACGGCAGTCAAGATCATAAAAACATAAGTCGATGGGTGACTGAACTGGTTGTGGCCAGCAAAGGTGAGCTTGAGCGCAATACCAAAAGCCTTGACGGACATGACAGAGATGGATCCAACGGTAGAACAAATGGAAAGGTAGATGAGAGCGTTCTTCTTGCCATATCTGGGGGCAATTCTGTAAATCATGAAGACGGCGAAGCCAACAACGGCGAAAGCGTATAGGAGGAAACCTATTACCAGTTAGGAATGACTCTTTGGTGATCATTTTCTCCAGTTACGAACCTGGCTGAATGGCCAAATGCAGAATCTCATCGACGGTCTCAATCTCCTCATCTGGAGGCGCGTGGAGCACAATGATAACGGCGCCAATCAGGCATATAGCACTGCCCAGTTTGCCCAGGGTACCAAGTTCTTCTTTGAGGAAATAAGAGCCAAGAACGGCACCAATGAGCACACTGAGAGCTCCAAGGGGAGTAACAAGGATAGCAGGGGCGAAAGCGTATGCGGCAAAGTTGCAAATTTCTCCGAGAGCAACTGTTGTTGTGTATTAGCACAGCCCTCGAAAAGATCAACTCACGTTACGGTACTTACGAGTTGCGATACCGGCCCACCACAAGGGATTCTTGAGATACACAAACCCGTCGCCTTCAAAGCCATGTCGCTCTTCTGCTTGGATCAATCCCTGATAACTGGTTAGTCTCATGTATATTGCTAAATGACAAGCTGTAACAAAGCGCCAGGGCGTTTGCAAACTTGTTACCCGTGAGCGTCAGGTATTCGACGAACCTTTTTTGTGATAACAAAACTTGTTCCTGGAACATTATTAGCATGGCGCATTCGATTATACAGAAGAAAGAGCATACCGATGGCGAGGGCCGATGTCATGGCGAGAGCCAGACCAATATACCTAGAAGTCATGTCAGCTTTACTATCACAGGCGAATCGGAGGATCGGGTTGCGACAAAGGACCGATCAAAGTGGCCTTTCAGGAGTAGGGACACGCCAAGTGGTACGCGACGTACTTGTCTTCAATCATGATGTCTAATAGAGCGCACAACAGCGACGAAGCGCACGAAGTCAACTATCTATAGAGAATTCCAATACGCTGAAAGCAACTATTCAAGTTGAGACAATGTTTTGGCGAAATGCGCCTGGAGAATGTCTAGTCGAGTCGAGTCGATGTCGAGGCACAAGGATCGTTGACAGTTGGCGTAGGCTCGCACCGGGCGAGAAAAGCCGCGTAGCAATAACGAGTGTTGAGGCGACTGGGCTGATGCAAAGTAGGGGCTCGAGTCTTATCGCAAACACATCAAAGAGCTGCGGTTAACTCGTCGTCAAGTGATATGTCTCGTCGATGTTGGCGTGGACGCTTGCAGAGTGATTCGGCTATGGAGGGGGTACCGACGTATGCAACTCGCAAGCAGGCAATTTGCGATGACGGAAAAGGATCGGCCGAAAGTATATTCGTCTCGTTGAATAGTTGTCGAATTCGTGAGTGTCGAGAGTTGACAGGGTCGTGTCTTGTCAAACCAAGCAAGCAGGAGGTGAAAGGCTCGTAAGGCGCGACAAGACGAGACGATATTCGCAGATGGCAGGGGGGTTAGTAAGGTAAAAAGGGACAGCTTGGCTGGATTGCAAAAATGGAGAGGCTACTGCAGTGTGGATGAGACGAGTGAGATGGTACAGTGCAGCAGCTTAGGTTAGGTCTGGCTTTGTGTGGGAGAGACAAAGTTTGGGGAGGCCAGATCAGACCTGACGAGACCAGACAGGGGGGTTCAGTAAGCTACAGACGACGGGAGGCGGCTTGAACAAAACCAGAAATGAAGAAGAGAAGTACATGAGTTACAGTGAAACAACAGGTGTGGGACCAAGTACACCCAACCCAACCTCAAGCAGTCCGAGTTCAAGAGGTTTCAAAAGAGGGCGCCAATGGACCCATAGCCCCCCCTGGCGTCAAGTCCTTGTCCCTGGCGTTACAGTGCCTTCCTAGGAAACACTATAAAGATGGAGTCGAAAAAACCTAAGCCCTGAGGGACTGGGTTACAGTTCCAGTGCATTACGTTTGCTCTTTTCCATTTCCCCCCCCCGCCGCATCTGACGACACTTCATTCCACGATCCATTTATTGGAAGAGAAACTACTAGATAAAACAATATGTTGGTAAAACGGTAGCGTTACGAAACCTGGCACAGACCCAGGTGTCAGAACGCAGCAATTGCTAATTGACTAACTGCCTGTGAAATTGAATCCGCTTACTTATGATGAGATGAAGTCTCAGGTTACCCTCATGATATGCACCCGCGCTGGCCTGAACAGCGGATGTAGGTAGACAGATACGGAGTAGGAACTCAATTTCTAGGGCCGGGGCTTGGACAGAAGACGATCAATGAAAGTGGTCTTTGTCCACCCCTGAGCTAACTCGACACATCACGCACAATAACAGTTACGTTACTACTACGAACAAGCCAAGTACATGTTGTTGACAATGAAACCTACCTAGACCTCCTAATCCATATCATGCCATCAATGAATACCTAGATTAAATATATGTCCTTTGGTGCTTCAACGTGGATCTTTCTCTATCTCAATTCCCCAACTCCATCTTAGCGCTCGCTTATTGTTGATTGATTCAAGGGGTTCAACATCTTCCTACTAAGGTATGTATCTACGGACAAAAATGTAACTTCTCCCCCTTAGCTTGCTTGTAATCGACCTTTCCACTGCCACTCAGGTGCACTCGCCTCAAAGTAGGTTGTTAAACCCCTGGAACCTTTCCTTGCCTCCTGGCAGTCCCATTTTGTCCCGTTTGAACCATGGAGTCCTCGTGTCCACGTCAGCAACCCGCACTGCATCGATAAATCAGTGAATTTTGGGGGTGGGTAGCAGAAGAATTGACCTCTAAGCTTTAGGCTACAAAAATAAACAGCCTAACAAGTATAGTCCAAGTCGCATAATGTGGCCTACTAATTTAGTCCCTTATGTTTCTGGCAGCCAACTTTTCTGGTACCCTGATGATGGGGTACTTTTTTTTTTAGCATCCGCAATTCAGTAGTGCCTCGCTCAGCTCCGCTGTATGTACGGATAGGCCAGTCCGGGATACGGACAAGATGGATCGAGAACATCCCCTACAACGCCTCCCGCACGCCACATTAAAATTTCCCACATCCAAGCCTCACCTGTAGGTTACTTACATAGGCCCGTTCCACACAATACCTTTGGAAACAATAAAACATGACTGACTGCTTTGGAAAATGATATTGTTGCACCGCAAATATGATACACCTTGTCATTTTGGATGGCCAAAGTCTTGTTCCTGATCGACGTGCCTAGCGCACAAACTTAATCAACCCCCTAATGTACCCGATACCTTGAAACGGGGATCCATGACGTCCTTTAATGCAGGAGGGGTTGGCCTTTGCTTAAGACGGTGGTTCTAGTTAATGCTCGGCGGTGGATGATTTGTTTCAAGCCAGGGCTGTTTTTGATTCATAAAGTTCGTCTGCATCACAGCACAACTTATCTGCAGGGTCAATCAATCGACTGCTTGTAGCTACAACAAAACAACATGAAGCAGATAAATTGATCAGCAACATTGGAATGTGTTTGTGATAAAATTGGCGAGATACTACTATGCATCGGATCGAGACAGCTATAAGGCCTATGAGATCCTAAACCAACAGTTCACTCAACAACGCAACCTCCCGCGGGTGCTGGTAAGTTTGCATTGCTTTCTATAATAAGGCAATACCAACATCAAAATGTGCCTTCGCGTTGTCACCGACTTCAGTATAGATCCCCATCACGAATGCTGTTCATCTTAATCGCCTCCAAAGCTTCGACTCCCAGCAACACCCGTAGCTTTGAGTTTCACCCCTAAAACGCCTCATTCCATCCAACGAGCCAGATCATACAGAACTAATCCACCAGTTCTCTTACCGACTGAGGCATCGCAGTTCGTTCTAAACTATTAAGTTGAAAGGGGAAGGGGTATCGGCACTTGTGTCATCGTAAACGAGTACGAAAACAAAAACAAAAACAAAGGCCATGTCGTCGATGGCCGAAAAAAGGCTCTGACCCTGTAGGCAGTGCCAGATCGTCCTATTGTGTTAGTCATGGCTATTCATTACTTACCTACGCTGAAGACACTCACATGGGCTTCGTTGGCCCATGCTGAGTTGCTTAGAAACAACCGATTTCTTACCACCAGAAAAGTCGCTGCAACGGTGGGACTAGACAATGACCCGGCCGAAAGATCCTTCTATCAATAGCTCAGGTCCTCACTGTGCGCCGAACTACCGGCAGCTATTGCTTTTAGTTACGATGAGAGAGCGTTGGCCGACATTGGAGGATCATGGTAGTTAGTTTGGGGTAGAAGGTTTCAAGGACGGCGACGTTTGGCATCTACGTAAGGTCAGTCAACGTCGATTTGTGAGAAAGTGTCGCATCGTACCTTGCTCAACTTCCGCATCGTGTTCGTCGTCATCCCCACGGGATCGCTTACCAGCGGCAGAGGGTGTGGTTGGCTCTTGATCATCTGCCTCAGGCTCGTCCCTCCAATCGATTTCGTCCAGGTCGTTCTCTCCAGTGTTGACCTTAGTTGCCTCGGCTTCAGTAGAAACTTCGCCAAGGTCGATGTTGAAAAACGCAGCCTCCTCCTCTTCCTGCAGCGTGGTAGTGGTGCTCGTACCATTAGTCTGGGCGCTGGTGACCTCAGGTTTGCCGAAACCGTTTTCTTCAGTCTCTTCAGTCTCTTCAATTCCTCCAATCTCTTCGGTAGCTTCGACAACCACATTGTCGTTTACCTCAGCATCATCATCCAGTTCGAAATTGGCAAATGGGTCGACATCACTTTCAGCGTGCGCTGGATAAAATTCGTCAGTATCATTGAAAGAAAAAGTTGTGCTGAAGTCGGATATAGAGTGTGCATGTTTGTAGGGAAAGAGTATGAGGGTTAGCCTATCGGGCTGTTCGTGAACAAGTCCGTCATTGGCCTTCAGGGATTGCCGGTATTCCCTTTCCTCTCGGTTATGTTTTTCAACATACCCCGAGACGCAGGGTTTACAAAGACAGAAGTCGGGGTAGTAGCAACAAATGAAACTGGTGGAGGGTGAGGTTGCTTTACCGTTTTGTTCGTGGTCTTCGCTCTCGATGGCCGCATTAGGTTCTTCGGCGACTTCCAGTAGCGCCTCGGCATTAGTCGAAGCACTAGCTGGTGTTGCAACTTGGGTTTCAGTAGCAACTTCTTTGTTGTCTTGGCTAGTAACTTCATGGCTGGTCACTTCTTGGACATCAAGAGTAGTAACCTCAACATTCGCATGTTCGTTTACTGGATATTCATCATCGACTTCTGGCTCGTCTGCCTCATCGTGGTGACCGTTGCCGTTCTGTCCATCACCGGCGTTTTCATCAACCGGGCTATCAAATTCGTCCAGCTCTTCATGAACGCCGTCGATTGTCGCAGCTGTTTCAAGCATGCTCGTGTCAACTGTCATAGGAGTCTCGAAGAGGTGAATAACTTCGTCGAGGCCCTTGCCTGCCGTAGCACTCTCAATGAGGGATTCGAGGCGCTTCTCTGCGTTCGGTTTAGTAAAGAGATAAGTATACATGGTCCGTGAACTGTCAGGATCTTGATTCTTAACAAGAACATCAAAAATCTCAAGGACTTGGCGAAAAGTAACATCTGTCATGAGTTCGCCTTGGGTTGCCTGGCACATCATGTTAGCAGGTTCTCGGCGGAAATTTAGCCTATGTCTCACCTCCGAAAGTTCGAGGCCGAGCTCGTCGACCTGGAGTACCAAGTCGTCATCCGCGGTGATCTCGTTTTCCAGTTCGGTTCGGAGACCAGCCAGCAATTCCACAAGTGGCTGATCTAAAACCGATGTGTCGGCAAAAAAGCTGTTGGTGGTGGTAGAAAACATGGGGAACTCGTCTCCCTTATACTGTACCGTGATAGCGGGGAAGTCGTCATTTGACTTCCCGTTCAAGTCCTCATCAGAGGCTGAAAGTTCTGCATGTTCGGTGTCGACCAACTGGTCTTCATTGTGTTCATTTTCTCCCACCTCATAACCGTCGCCTTCCGCGGCTTTGACCTCATCAATGGTTTCGAGATCATGTCCTGTTCCTGGAACGACGACCTCTTCGCGGCTGAGTGTATGTTCTTCATAGAACTCTTGGTTGCTGTTGGAAGTATCTAACTGCGCATGGTCATCCACAGCCAAGTCCTCGGCTTCAACATTTTCAAGTGCGGCCCCGTCATGTTCGGCCGGCGTTTCCTGTGGATCCAGAGATTTGTCATGGTCGTCATGACTGCTGGGGGCATGTCGCTCCTCCGGGACTTGCTCAACTACGTCTTGTTCAGATACAGGGGTGTTGTCGCCGGATTCCTGGATTTTGTAGCTTGTAGCAGGATCGATTGTCTGCTCTTCCTCAGGATTTGCTGGCTGATTGGTTGTCTCGGTAGTTACATCCTGTTGAGGCTTGTCAAGTTCTGCGTCTTCTTCAAATTCGTAATCGATTTCATGTGTAGATGCGCGGTCATCCGGGATATCATCTTTCTGGGTGGTTGTTTCGTTCGAATCCACAGGGTTACTATCGTATTCTTGCTCTTCCTCGTTGGACGACTGTGCTATAACAGCAGGTTCTTGCTTTTGAAGCTCAGGAGCCTCGCTCACTTCATAATCCACAGGTTCCGGACTATGTGCTGTGTCATCGACGTCATGAAGGTCAAATTCGACGTCTTCGCCTATCATCCCGTTCGTCTCGTAAGCGTGGTGGTCCACAACATCCTCGTCTTCTTCCATCTCTCTATCCGCACCTTCGAGATTAACATCCAACTTCTCAAAGTCTTGATTCGAGTCTGCCATTTCGGTGTCAAAATCGATCATCTCGTCTTCGTTTCGGCCGTCTAAGCCCGACTTGGCCATATCGAGATCCATTTCGATCTCCGTCATGTTTTTTTGGCGAGTGCTTGGGTGCCTCAAAACACTTTCACTTAGGCAGGCAGGTCGAGATAAAGGACGAAAATTTGAGAAATGTAAAAAAATAGTTCGCGATGCAACGAGAGATGCGCTGCGAAAGGAAAGAAACCCGGAGTTCTCGAGGGGCGCAAGCTCTGGTATAGGTTGCAGACGCGGTAATGGGTTGTATCAAACAGTCAAAGACCAAGCTTGAATGTAAATGCAATTTAAGCTGGTATGCGACATTTGATTTAGTGAGTCAGATTCTGTGTGTGAGTGTAAAGTAGAAGAACGTTAACGCGTGACGTTCCCTAGATAAGCCGTGTTTTGCGTTGTGATTGCGCTGTTGAAAGAAAGAAATGAATAAACAGCAGATTGCGTCGACGTGAAAGGCGAAAATGGCAAACGGGCCAACCCAGACAAAGGTAACTTGATGCCACTAACCGTGGCAAGCGCGTAGGTAGCAATATCAGGTGCCTAGGCCGGTACTAAAGGCAAGCCGTTGATGATTCAGCAGGTTGTGGACCCCGGGCAGAAAGGCTGAAGAGGTGGAAGGCCAGGGAGAGGCTGGCGCTTACCTTGATAAGACTAGCGTTGGGTAGGCGGGCAGGTGCATGGTAGCTTAGGTGCTCTTTATCATCCCCCTTCCATAACAGCTTCTTCCAGGTGGCCTGTACCTGGAGGGGAGGTACGTACCTCTACTGACTCCTGCACCTCCCACCGACCTGACTTGAATATTGGCCCGCTCTACCTACTAACATCCAGGGGACAAACATTCAACAACTTGCAAACTACATCGCAATCAACAAAAACTGCTTGAATTAGCCAGCCAAGATGGTGCGCAATATCTACAATCATCACACCTGCTTACATCACGTACTGATGCTACCTAGGTCGTCCTCGCGGCTTCGATTTGCACCCGTGGAGGGAAAGCTGTCCTCTCGAGACAGTTCCGAGAGATGCCACGATCGCGTATAGAAGCTCTCCTTGCCTCGTTCCCAAAACTCGCCGATAGCGGTACACAACACACCATCGTCGAACAAGACAACGTCCGATTCGTCTACCAACCCCTCGACGAACTTTACATGGTCCTCATTACCAACCGCCAGTCGAATATCTTGCAGGACATCGACTCTCTGCATTTGTTTGCACAAGTGGTTTCCAGCACCTGCAAGAGCCTCGATGAGCGTGAGATCGTTAAGAATGCCTACGAACTGCTCAGTGCTTTTGATGAGCTAGTGACCCTCGGGTACCGCGAGAATCTTACCATCAGTCAAATCAAGACATTCCTTGACATGGAGAGTCATGAGGAACGCATCCAGGAGATTATTGCACGAGTAAGCAAGCTCCTCCGGGCCATTTGTGCCCCTCTTCACAGCCAAATACTTATAAATGCATAGAACAAAGAATTGGAGGCCACCGAGGAGCGAAAACGGAAGGCGAAGCAGCTCGAGATGCAGCGCAAGGATGCTGCTCGCAGTGGTCGTCCCGGTGCTATGGGCGGCATGGGCGGCGGTATGGGCAGCAGTGGCGGCATGCCCCGAAGCCCTTCTTATCCCTCATACAACCCTCCTTCGCAATCGAATACCAGCACATACGACTCATACGAGGCTGAGAAGAACAAGTCCTTCGGCAAGTAAGTATCGTCAGTTTTCTATTGGATTACAAGCAACTAACATGTTCGAGACCCCTGGCCCCCAAAGCCAAAGGTATGCAATTGGGCAAGAAGTCCAAGACGACCGATATGTTTGAGCGAGTCAGAGGTGATATGGGTAGCGAGATCGACAACTCACCTCTTGTTACACCCGCACCTCAACAGCAAGCTGAAACACCAGAACCCCGTGTCTCCTCGACCCTCGACCGCGATGCCATCCACGTCGCCATTTCAGAGACTATTTCGGCCAAGCTATCTCGAGAGGGTGCTGTCAACTCACTAGCTATCAGCGGTGATCTCGTCCTGAGAATCTCGGACCCCAGCCTGACAAAGATCAAGCTTGGTCTCCAAGCTGTTGCGTCTCACGGAGTCCAGTTCCGCACTCATCCTAATGTTGACCGAAATTTGTTCAACGGCTCCAAGATCATCCAGATGAGCAACACTGCTCGCGGATTCCCAACCAACAATGCAGTCGGTGTACTACGATGGAGAGCCTCTCCCAAGGTCGACGATCCCAGCGCATGCCCGATTACATTCACTGTATGGATTAACAAAGATGGAGACAAGTACAACATCACAGTTGAATACGAATTGACAGGCGGTGACGCTTTGAATGATGTTAGCGTCGTGATTCCTTATGCGGGCAGCGAGCCTGTTGTTTCTAGCTTTGACGCTACTTACGATGTTTCCGGAGACACAATTGAGTGGTCCATTGGTAACGTGGATGACGAGAACCCTAACGGTTCGTTTGAATTTGAGGCAGAGTCAGGTGATGAGAACGATTTCTTCCCAATGACCGTCCGATTCAACAAGAGTACACCATACATTGATGTTGATGTAAGTTTATATACCGAATGCCTGTTACGATCTTGCTAACCATTTCAAAGGTCAACACTGCGTCTCTTCTGGAGGAGGATGAGGAGGTGACATTCTCCAAAGAAATCAAGTCTCATGCAGACAACTTCTTGGTAGAATAGATGGATCTCAAAATTCGTCCGATTTCGAAACAACTTTCTGAGCAAATTTACTCCATAAAAGGAAAGGGATATATATGTATTTGAGTAGAGCTGGGAATAGACATTAGTAGCAGTGTCTTGGCAGTCCAGAACCTAACGGCGCAACGACAATTGATGTTTATGTGTTTGGGTTAAATGATCAGGAGCCTGCTCTTACAATCACCAAAATCAGTATTGGTAACAACAGAGATGTAATAAAAACAAAAATTAATGGGCTCAGGCTACCGATGCTTCATCATCTATTTCTTGAGACCGAAATTGCGTGTCTGGGTGCATGGTGCGAATTATTTTCAGACGCACGGTGCTATCACTAATTCCTTCTCTTGGACCATCTCATCTCACAGTAGGTAAGTAGGTAAGTAGCTGCAACTTACACATCAGCACCACGCTCGCCCACCGTAAAAGCCAAAAATTCATTGCGCATGTGATGGTTCTTTTGGTTTGAGAGGATACTCGTGTGCTGCGTCAAGAATAGAGGGAGCTATGGCGCAGCAAAATCAGCTATCGCTCTTCAGCGTGACAGAGCTTCAAGACAGGGCACCTAATGGTTGCCCTGTGAGCTGTCCAACCCTCGATCTCTCTGCAACTTGGGATGCAGCAGACAGAAATCTCCTCGTGTACAGGCCTCCTGGGCAAATCGTCTCCAAGATTCACCAACTTGGTGCACCAGGCCAGAAAGCGCCGGACGCCCAAGCAGTGACTTGGAGATCTGATGGTTAGTGAGAAAAGCCACCATGTCTAAAATACTGCTTACACAGTCTTTAGGCCAATTCCTTGCTGTTGGATGGAGTGATGGCTTTGTTCGGTTGATGGGACTCGAAAACAACAAGGCTGCCCATCATCTCAAAGTTGGAGATACGTCCGGGAGCAAGATCACGCATATTGGCTGGGCAAACAGTAGCATTGCCGACAACAGTTCGAATGTGGTCAGCCAGGCTCTGGAGAACAACTTGGGAGATGGGTTGGCGCCTGATGGAAATAGCCTCCCGTTAGATCTCCCACGCGAATTGACATTTCTCGAGGTCGACACGGCATTGCCCAAGATCAGCCCTCTCCCGAACAGTAGCGCTGGCTCAGGGTATGTCTGTAACAAGTTTGAGCAAAGTTGGCATACTAATAAATCCGGATAGAGAAGACGCGTTAGTGTTCACATTACGCACTGGTATAGAATTTCTCTTCCAGCCCCCAAAGCCGGAGGAGTATGACCAGGTCAGCGTCATGATTGTCGGGACGAGCGATGGGCAGATTCAGATCAGTATTTACGACTCCTTCATCATCGGGAATTTCGAGTGCCCCAGGATTGCCCCTTCATCAAGCTCACAACTGATCCTTCATGCCTCGCACCCGAATGTATCGACTCATGCGTTGCTTTTTGCAGACAAAGCAGATGGACCAACAGACGTACATTTGGTGCCTATAGACATGCCTTTCATACACTCTTCCCCTATTAATCTCTCTCTTCTTGCTTCCAAGTTGACTACACTCCAAAAGCTATTAAGATATCTCAAGCAATCGCAGCTTCATATGCAGGTCGAATGGCGAAATACGCGGGAACTACCTACAAGGTTTCTTCGAAGCATTGAGGGTGATCTCGAAAACCTTGAAACTGGCCCTCGAAGTGTCGTTTCAGCTCTATATCACTTAGCGGTAACAGGTCACGCCTATGAGCCTGTACGTGAGTGGCTTGTGGAGAGCCTAGCAGAACGAGTAAGTGTAGACAGCTTCGAAACATAAGATCGATCGATGGCTAACTACCCAGGGACACAAACGATGGGATAAAGCAGTAGTCTCTGGGCTAGAGGGTCTTCGAAACTTGGTCCACGAGAACTATCTCCCGTCTCTAGATCGCTGTGCAATCATCCTGAGCAGGTTGCGAGGCCTAGCTCAATACCACCACACCCGAGATGACATTGGTTTTTCACTTAACCAGATTAATCGTTTGATGGATATTGTTCAGTGCCTTCAGCTCGTTGGGCACAAAATTCTGATCAACGTTATGGATGAGCTGGAGAGCTTCATGGCATTCTCTACTTGGCTTCGCTTCCAGATCGACCGACTCGCTTCTTCTAGCTCCATGAGTGAGGAACTGACCGAGAAGGAGGCAACTATGGATGTGGGGAAAGTCCTGACCTATATCGAACATTATCTTACCGACAGCCCTCTCAAGATATTCTTCGATGAGATGCGAAACGAAGAATACGAACAAACTTGTGAGCAATTAGAAAGTGGCTCAAGTCTTATACACATTCTTGATCAGCAGTTGATGAAGTGCGAGAACGGCCAGCCTGGCTTGCAAGCACTATCTCGTGTCGAATTCCTGGTTTCATATGTAACAAACCAGGCAAATCGCACTTTCAGTGGTATTGCAGAGGCAAAGAAGCGCAGCGTCCGACTTGGAACCCCAATGCGACTTTCGATCGGTGATCCTATATCACACATGGATATGAGGATGAATAGAACGAAGAACCAGGTATTTTTCTTCGTCGCGTGGACCTAATGCTTGCTAACTGCTCTACTAGAAAACGAGTGTTATGGCTGCTCTGGCAACCAAGGAGGCCAAGAATGAAGGTAGTCCAACTTAGCCATACCCTCTAGAAAGATGCAAGGTGTTAACCTAGTACAGTTCAAATCTTCCATGTTGGAATCGACATTACCAATGGCATTAGCACCAACAGATCCCCAGCGAGCTGTCGCATTGACCTTGAGGCACGTACTCTCATCGCATTCAAATTTCTTAACGACGAAACACTTGTTATTATGTGCAACGATCAAGGTAAGCTTGTGGTAATATCTTGCCCCTGAGTAAAAATACTGATCGCGCTTGTAAGATAATATGCCGCAAGTAATTTGCGCACCTATCCAACCAGACAAGCTTTCATATAGTGACTACGATCCCGACAAACCCAACAAAACATCTTGTGTATCGGTTGACGGTTTCACGGCATATTCTTTCCCTGAGAACTCAATAACCAGACCTTTACGTCTGGAAGTCAACGACAGGAATAGTGTAAGGGGGGAAATGCCTGCTCGAGTCTGTGTGCTGGAGAGTAACCGCACCACGCTCAAGACGTTTGCATTTCCCAGCACACGGTCTTAACCTTCCATTCCTAATTCGTGCATATCGCGTGGGAAATAGTGATCAAGTACAAAAGCGGCATGTATCATAGAAGGCCGCAGAGAACTAGTGTTGGCACGTACGCTAGTATAAATAATTTACACGATAGAATAGAAACATGTAGATTCCCCGTTCATGCATGAGGACCACCGATTCACTGCCGAGGCTTAGTGATATTAAAGAACTCAGTCAGTCCTTCAACAACAGCCTCAACGTTCATGTTGACCAAAGGCATGCTGTCGTACGAGTCCTCCTTCATGATAGCAACAAGAGCCAAGTAACGATCTACCTCACGCAGCATGATGGGCTTGTTGCCGTCGTGAAGGACAAGACAACTCTCTGCAGTGTTGCAGCCAATCTGTTTGTCTATAGGCGTACTCCACGGCTCCCCCTCAAGACGGCGACGCCCCTCGTCACTGCGTTGCCACGTTCCATACACTTCGGTGATATCTATGATGACGTCGATGTAGTCGCTACAAATCTCGTAGCTGGCCATATCGGCAGTAGCACTGTCGGTCGCGATGTAGATCTTTGTTAGGACATCAAAGAGGTACGCTTTTTCGAACCGACAGGTACGGCACAGGTTTGTGAGCATAGACTCGAGCGTTCCAAGGCGAGGGATGAGCTTCTGAATGACTTTGCTGAAGGCCTCGAAAATAGAGTGGTTGTAGATAGAGGTGAGGTGGAAAGTGACAGGCGCATTCTCGAATCCGTGGTCTGACAACTCGTCCTGGATACGAATTGTTATGTCACGCTGGATATCAAGCTTGTAGTCGTCTGATAGACCGTCGACCTTGTGAATAAAGACTTCGATGTTGATGTTGGGGTAGGTTCGCTGCAGGAAGAGGATTGTGGTGTTGAGACGCATGACTGCCTCAAGATAATCGTCTTGGGCGTCAATGACCCAGATGAGAGCGCCAATTTCACTAAATATGGCTTCAATATCAAATCCAGGGTTCTCGAAGACGTCGATTTGACCAGGAAAGTCCCAGACTTGGAAGTCCATGAATGATCTATGGATTGGGTTAGCCTTTATGAAGATAGACAGCTAAGACAGCTAGCGATACGCACGCCATGGAATCCTTCTGAATTCGAGCAGTTGATTCGAGGAACAAAGTCTCGTTGGGAGGCAGCTTGTGGAAGACTACACTTGAGATGGAAGATTTTCCACTCCTATGACCATAGGTTAGCAACCATGCAGTTATTACCAGGATTCAGTTTACCTTCGCTGACCCATCAATAATAGACGCGGTTTCCCTTTTGGAGGCGCAACGGCAGAGTTGGGCCCGGGGACTGCTGGTTTTTGCGCATCGTTCTTGGACGCTGGAGCTCCGCTGAGTGACTGTTCAAAAAGACGTTGAAGATTTAGCTGGGCTGGACTTGTTCCGCTGGCCGATGTATCATCTGCCTCATCAAAGGAGCGTGAGAAATTATGGACTGGGGGGCTGAGAGACATTTTGTGAATGGAAGTGGCCAGTGATGGGGATGGTTTGGTGTTGAGGACGAGGGTGCTCTGTGTAAATGTAAAAAGCAACGCGGGCTCTGCTCGTTTCACTTGATACCGAGCAGATGGACGGTTGTGCCTCAAGTTTTAAGTGAGTACAGCTCTGGCTTTCAACTCCTTTTATCCTGCTCTGCCTTTAGATCTGCTCCATCAGGTGCTGCCAGCTGGCGGGTATTTCATGTCACTGCCCGTCGGTGACCTTTTATACCAATGACACTGGCAGCTTTTCGACATCGACGCGGAGCTAACAATAACAGCTGATTCACTTGTTTTGTTGCATAAATCATTGCCGCATGAGCGAGTGAGGGGGTAGAAGGTTCCAGTCTGCAATTTAAGAAGAATTAAAGTGTCGGGTTTCTTTGAGCCATGCGCCAATGCCTTAACCATATCCCCTGGGCCGGCGTGGCTCGTATGAAGCCTCGTATCGTATAAGAGACGCGCATCCTCTCACTTGAGGTGACACAGACTCATCTACAGAGCGGCCCAGTCAAGCGAGCGACGGTCGAATCAGGACATGCCTTGGAGCATGTTGTCTGTATTTCTGTGGCCAGCGCCACTACCGAACGCATGTTCCCTATGCTTGGTGACATATTTCGGGAGCTGACAGGTTAAGGAGAGGACCCTTGGAGATACAAATGATGTGACGGCATTGTAGATGTCGTGTTGTGTTGGTCGCAGGAGGGGTCAAGCGCACACTTGGGCGCTGGGACAGAAAAACACGCGTCAAGCAGGAGAGTTCATAGTCTTACCTCCATATTTGTTTATAGATTCCAGGTGCTTTTTTTGATACCGCAAGACCGGAACGATATCACTTTCTATGTCCGCCTAAAGTCTCCGTTGGACGAGGCTGAGGCTGAGAGTCAAATTGTTGGCTGGTGAGCAGGTCAAGTCGACACTTATAAAAGTTTGACTGCACTCGTGTTTGGCTGGTGATTGTTTGCGCAGGGCGTTAAATTATAGAAAGAATTATTGCTCTTTAATGCGTTGTTGATATACACTCGTTCTGTTGTCGAAATGGTGGATGAATTGGAATGATTGATCTTGGTTGTTGATTAGTTATTCGGGAGTGGCTGGTGATGGGAGCTTTGACATCCACGCGCCTATTGGACCGCCCAAGTCACAGCACTAAAACTAACAATCTAACTCCCCGCAGCCCGCTAAACTAGGTCCCTTTACAGGGCATGTACCGAATTTGTGTAGGTTCCATGGATACCAATCTTAGTTGATTGTATATTACCCTATACTGAACATACACTATCGCCGTCTGCGCTTCATTGTTCAGCTGTTATGATAAACAACTCCTTCTTTACATACTAATAGATATACATACATTTGCAAATAATACTACAGATTTCAGTTTCTAGTTTCTGGTTCCCTATCCGCCATTCGACTCGAGGATCTCGGAAACAGGGCTTGAATGAAACTCTTCCTGCGCTTCAACACCTTTGTTTCGTCCTTCCCAGCATGTGTTTCACTTTGAACTACCGGCTTGCTGTCTAAAGGGCCACTCGTGGGTATTCTTGTAGTTACATCGCTCTGTTGTGGAGCGGTATCTGTTAATATCAATATAACTGCTTTGTTCGTTTCTCGAAAGGCCTAAATCCAACGTGTTCAGAATTGGATTCTTTGGGTCGGAGGATATCCCTTGGGGCTTACTTACCTTGCTGGATCTTCGCCTCGGAGCTCTGATAGACCCTCGACGTTCATTCACTGTTTGCACACGGTCTTTCGCATCCAATATCTCCCCAGCAATAGTGTTGCCTTTCCACCCGGCGCAGTCCTCGGCAACAGGAACAAATCTGAGATAACCTCTGGAAGGGGGAATACCAAGGGCTTGTTCCATGTGCCGCTGCAATAGAGCAATATTCCGCTTGTTCGCTGCAGGCTGCATATCTCGATCGAGCGCTTCGATCCTCATGATATAAGACGGAGCACAGCTCCCGCCAAATTGGATGCAGATGCCATGCTGAAGGGTCGTTACAATACATGATGCAGGGCGATTGTAGTGTATGGACAGGTACTCTGGCAGCTCAGTGGTGAAAGTAAACTCGTCTTCAATCTTGTGACTAACAGTAAGACAAATGTTTTTTCATGCTCATGACGACACGGATCACTTACAATGACATTGGTCTTGATCTCTGCCACTACAGCAGACGCACATCGTACTCGATCACCTACCTCGTCACTCTGCTTTAATAAGACTAGTTCATCTGAGACTTCGCGTCGTCTTCTGGAGAGGATGGGTAACGAGTGCTTTCTTGTCACTTTGTTGGCATCTCCAGAAACCAGCTGTTCAACATCTCTAGACAGTCGCTGGTCACTCTCCAGGACTGGGTTCAGACTTGGCTTGCTCAGTCTAGGCTTGACTCTGTGTTCACCTAGAACTAGCCTGGGTGGTGGTGTAGGGCTTGGCGGCTCCTGCTTCGAGTTGGGTGGTCGGAGAGGAATGTTGCTGGGGATATATGGTATGGTCATTACTGGTGATAGGTGCATTGCGGCAACGAGCTAACCCTCAGACGAGGAAGTGGTCCACAGAGGAGAGTATGGTGATCAGAAGCAAGTCAAAGTTATCATGTACCGGCTGTAGAAGGGTTGAGTATTTGTTGCATGCAAACCTCTCGTGTCCCCCGATACTGTGCAGGAACGCATGATTGGCATATGTTTTACTGCCATTCAATATTATCCAAACAAAGAGTAATATTGTGGAAATATATGTGTTACGTTCTGCGACTAGATACACGACAAGGTTATTGCCTTTGGAGGCCCATTGATGCTCTACTGCAGTCGTTGGATACGAATGCCATCAACTACGTATGTATGTAAGCGTCGTATGAAACATGTTGGATAGCAGCTGTTGAAGTTCTAGGAATTCCGTTACCTCCAATACAGATAGTACATACTGTTTTCAAGGAATTGAAAAATAATGAGGCTGGAAAACAGAAGCAGAATCAGCCAGACGACCCTCTAGTTCCTCGAATTGTACTACAATACATGCAGGCTTCCCTTTGTTTTTCCCATGTTGCGCTTATATGTGAAACGCATGTGATACGCAATCATTGTGCACAGAGCTACGGATTTTTGTCAATGGAACATGATCCTTCCTCTCTTTGTTCCACAATACTAGACAAGCATCCCTCTCTTCATCTCGTCAAGCAAGTAAGCGAAGATGCATTGCGGCCTTGCTGACTAGCTCTGTAGGATGCTATTGTAACTGTAACTCGAATGTTATTCTTGACATGGTTGTATCAGCGCCCAACAGGGATGGCTCTTGGCGGACGATGACCTGTTCATATTCGATCTCCAGACCGTGCCTTGGGCTGTCAAGTATCGGATAGTGATAATCCACGATATGGGAAGGCTCCCAAAGGAAATAGCACGGTACCCAGGTAGTCTACTTGCTGTAGCATTCGCGAAATGGTTGCCCTGATAAAGAATTGTCTGTCTGTACTAATTGATTGGTTGTTTGATTATCACCTGTGCTTCCTCCAGTGTTGTTCGTATGCATTGACCGCATCTAGGTAGTTTACAGAATGCGATGTAACCCATCGTGTTACGAACCATTGAACTTACTTTGAGGTGTCTTACAGAGAGAAGTATCACACGCAGTAGACTGCGCCAATAATGATTGACAGCCCTAAACCAACAAGTTGGAACGTCAAGAAAGCTGCAGGCATAACGCCATAGATGCAAGGAGTGAGAAGCAATCCAGACTGCCGGAATGTTATTTCTGCAATGCTTCAATCAAATCATCAATCTGACACTTCGCTAGGCATGGCCGAACTACTGGGCTCTGGGTCTTGTTCTGTCTCGGCGTAGGAATAGAAGACGGTGGGCACAGTAAAAAAAAAACAAAGTGCCAGTTATTATTATGTGTTGTCAAAAAGAAATGACCTATCGTATTTAGCTCCAGCAAACTGGGTCCATGTTTCTGCAGCTTCAGCTCCGGTTTTCCGTTCCAATTCCTTGGGTAACGGGAGAGAATCCATATGCTTGAACTTCCATGATACTAGATAGTTACTAGCACATCATTCCGGCCAATCTCTGGGTGGTCCCCAGGTCTATCCATGCCATGATCTGAGCGGCTGAGTCCGAGCGAGCCCAAGCCCGAGGGCTTGGTAACTTTTGCTCCGGGACGTCAAACTCAGGACAAGGCAGGGCTTCCCGCTTTACGCCCAGACCCATGCGAGGTCATGCTGAAGCGTTTCTCCAGAACGAATTGATATGCCGCCAATCCTAGGATGATAACCTCTACGGGGACTAACATGACAGCGAGTCCAACGCTGGCCTTGCTCTGCTTGCATAGCGTGCCAAAATGGGGCTGCACGGTCATGGTCACATCCTTCCAGCGACAAGTCCAGCTCTGTAGAGAATCGTTGGTGGTTGATGCGTTCACTCCATAAAAGAAGGATATGGAAATGATGACAGCGATCAATGCGATAGCTGGGGGTGTAAATTTGACGACAGCTTTAACAGTAGCATTTCCGCGGGCCTGTTAACATCATGACCGTTAGTTCCATAGTCTAAGAAAAAAGCAAAAAGAAAGAGATTTTGTTTTGCTGGAAAGACTGGAGGGTTCCTTACAGTCGGAATCTTGCCAGCGATCAGTGAAACAAGATTGGCTACAACAACCAGGGCGCCGCCTACTACGAGAGCGATGCTGGGACCCATGTCAAAGTTGGAAGGCCATAGTTGCAGGAACCAATCTTCTGGGACGTAGGTGGCATGATAGACAGCGACGGTATCTGCCGACAGCCCGAGGATCGTCAGGCCAGCCGCAAGAGCAAGGACTGTGAGGCCCAGTCTGGCACTGTCGATCAGGCGATAGAGGCGAAAGCTGGGTTCGGTGCGGACTGACTCAACGTCTGTCTCAAAGTTGGAGGCCGAGATCTCGGTCTTGGTGCCGATAGACATGTTTGTGGTAGTGGGCTCCATATTGAAGATGTGGATGATATATCGAAATAAACACAGAGAAAGGACGAGGAACTAGGTAGAACAGAAACAAACCCCAAGACCGGCTGGAGAAAGGAACGAAATATGGTATGTAGAAAGGAAAAGAGAAAAAACACAACCACACAAGGAAGATGAGGAAATAGAAGTTAATTCAGATTCATATCATGGGGATTTCTCGCGTAGATATAACAAAGATCAATAAACAAGATATGATATAGGCTTAATTCTAAGCGACGAACGCCATCACGACAATAGCGAAAAAAGACCAATGATACACGACAAATCCGATTGATGTGATGAGTTTGAAGCGCTTATGCGAGAATTGCAGCATAAACGCGCTGGTTGCTTTCTTTAAACACTGCAACCCATACCTACCTAATACCTACTGTGAGACATTCAAGAGAAACGCTGTATCTCGATTGGCTGGGACTCCTACACCAAAGGTATTGAGTATGTCGCCTTGAGCGCTTACAAGAGGCATTGGCCAATCAGAGACTCCCGATCTGCCCAAGATGGTTGCTATCAACATCTATTTTAGTCCATGTCAAACCCTTGGTGTGAGCGCTTATGTATGTTGGAGATTAGGGGGAACATAAGGTTGCAGGAATGGCCAGCCAGTGATTATAATTGAGCATTAGGACTACTGTAGAGAGTTGAATCTGTTGTATCAAGACATTTGTCAAGTCACATGTGTCGTCACCTGATTATTGACAGCCACAAACGAACGCCACATTTCTTGACAGCCGACTAGACTAGAATTCTTAATTAATAACCTTAGCCTCGACCGTCATGTGGACCCCGAAATTATTCGGCCTAGACTTGGCATCACTCCGAAAGACAAAAGATGAATCAAAGCAACGCAACGCCCTTTTCAGCTCTACGGATACTGCTCCAGCCTACGCAAAACAAAGCAGGGGGGCCGACAGCCTACGAGTCTACAAACCCTAACGTTTGTTCGGTCTGTGACACATCCGAGATGAGGCTTGATAGATTGCTTTTGCTCATCTATCAAGGCAGCATGATAAATGATATATTCAGGATTGCCTACTGCACCGTACCTGCAGTGAATAATGACATGAATACCGGGCACATTGATGCGGCCTGACAGTTGTCTTCATACAGGGACTTGCGGCGCAGTACCTGCAACAGCAAGGATCGAGTAATTAAAACAGAATCAATCGGAGACGAAGATCCTATTCTAGAATCTATTCACATGACGACATGAAGATTATGGTTTCACGATAACCATACCGGTGAACGCGACCAACGGCTTCGGTCAATGGCTGGTGCGATGTGATTACCATGCCTTTGTTGAGCTTGAGTACTTGACGTTGGCACCCAAGACGCTTCAAACCTTGGGAACTCGGACACAACGTTGGGATTTTTTCTCTACAGTGACCAGAAGCTCACAGTACCAACACGGCGTCTCTCTGTCTCTCTCTGGGCTGTAAGGCGCTGCGGATGATCGACAGTAGCGTTCTCGCCGGTTACGGTTAGAGCAACAGCACCAACAATGCCCCGTAATAGACGAGTCAATCAGAATGATTGAGCAGGGGGTGAGTCTGACATTAATCCCTAACGTTCAGTAATCGAAAATACACCACCCATGGCATTTACAAGCCCCCTCACAAACCTACATGTCAAATCCTGCATTGAACCTAACAGAATACGGATAGCTGAGACAAGATACGGAGACCGGCATTGTGTATTTTCCCTAACAACAAACAGCATGACACCGATATGAAATACAACGCCGCATTCCCATTGGCAGATTTAAGGATACAATCGGACGTCCGACTTACATACAAGACCTGATCCTTGTCTTTCAGACATCAAAGACTACGAAATGCAGATCTGGCACAGCTAAATTACTCAAAGATCAATGTCTATCTCCAAAAGGTTTACCTTGTTAGTCCAAAGTCAGCTGAATGACAGGCAGCCAAGGATTGCTAATTACGGGTGTGAGCAATACATACATAATTCTGCCCTCAGCAACGGACATGACAGCTCACAAGGAAGCACCGTGAAAACATACCTAATGCAAGATTTATGTTCTGCAGACTGCAGCTGCCTAGCTTGAACTGTTTCTGGGTAGAGCTGCATTCAAGAAAATTGACGATTGGGAGCCTATCAACGACTTTCAAGAGAATAAAGTTATTGCTACTTACTCGCAGCTGAGCAGCTGGGCTCTACTGCACCCGACCTCAAGGGCCTGACAAATACCCTTCCTTGGCCCTTGCGGCGGGAACCACGAACGGCATGCGGATAGACTATACACAACCGTCACTTGGACGGCTAACTATGTCCCACACCGGGGAGAGCGACGAGGACGAGAACAGACAAAAGGCGCTACTCATAAATCGACACCCCATGGAAGGGGGTGGTGTCTGTACGTTTGTCAAAAAAGAAAACGAGAGATTAATGTGATGAACATGGCTCTTACGGATCGGAATAGAGTTATGTTATGAGACATGCAATGTGTTTTCACATTAGGGTAAGGGAGCCATCGTCAGTATCGTTGTACG